GCGCCTCCCCTGCCCCCTCCCACAGCTGTGGGCGCGGGGGGAGGGGGCTGTGCTGCTCGGAGCTGCGGGGATCCCCAGCGGCCTGTTTGCCATCCCAGCAGTCAGGTGGGGAGTCCCCCGCTGCAGCCTTTGCGGGCTGGTCTCACCCTGGAGAGCTGCAAACCCAGGGCTCCCACGGAATCCCACTGCTGCCAGCAAGAGACGCAACAGTCCCCAGCCAGAGGCTTCCCCACCCGGCCGGGGGAGTGGCTTTTTCCTGTGGATCCTCCAGGCTTGGCTAACCCCCTTTCCCTTCTCAGAGCGCTGAATGGAAGCGGAGTCTTGGCTGGATCCCAGCGAGGAGGGAGGAGAATGACGGGGAATATGGAAAAGCCTAGCCTGCCCGATCAGGCATGGGTGGGTTTCCCTAGCCAGGTAAGGCGCAGGTCGCCCTGGCAGGAAGGGGCTCACAAGCAGGAGCAGGGACCCCTTGGCTGAACCGTCTTTGAAATGGGCTGCAAGTTCTGCCGGGTCCCCCCACCCCGAGTTCTTCCCAGCTGCCCCTAGAGCAGCTGTGGCCAGGTGTGTTTCTGTCACTGGCCGGGCCTGGGCCTTGCCCATGCAGTGCTCGCTTAGGATCGCTGCGCCGTTCCACCCCGGCAGCTCTTTTGTTCCCACGTCTCCGCGCGCTGACAGCTGGCCGCGGTCACCTTGGCCCCAGGCCGCCGACCCCCAGCCACATCACACATCCTGGATTCGTCACGGGCCTTCCCCCGCGGGACAAAGGCTGCACAGCTGGGGAGAATGTAGCAACATAAGAACGGCCAGACCAAAGGTCCTTCTAGCCCAGTATCCTGTCTGCCGACAGTGGCCAACACTGGGTGCCCCAGGGGCAGGGAACACAACAGGTAATCCTCACGTGATCCCTCCCCTGTCACCCATTTCCAGACAAACATAGGCTAGGGACTCCATTCCTACCCATCCTGGCAAATAGCCATTGATGGACCTAACCTCCATGAATCTATCTAGCTTTTTTTTAACCCAGTTAAAAGTCCTAGTCTTCACAACATCCTCTGGCAAGGAGTTCCACAGGTTAACTGTGTGTGCATACCCACACCCAGGAGCCAGGCTGTATCCAGCTTACCGCCCCCTCCACTGGCAGCAGGACATGGCCAGCACCCGTCTACACAGCCACCTCCTTCCACCCTGAAATGGGAACCAGGCTAGAGGTCCCTGTGCCGGGGCGGCTGGCTCTTTAAGGGGCTTCCCCTCCTGTGACACTATTGGCTCGCCTTCCAGTTGGGGAAGATGAAGAGGGTCACGGCACTGAGGGAGTCAGGCCGTGAATCTGCAGCTCAGTCAGGGAGGACCTCCGGGGACTTGAAATAAGTAGGAGCAGGGAAGGAGAGGGGGGAGAAAAAGAAAAAAAAGGAGGGGGGGTGAGACACAGCATCACCCGCCCCTTCCTTTTTCCTTTTTTTCTTTTTCTCCACCCCCTCCTTCCCCGCTCCTATTTATTTCAAGCTTTCATAATCTGAAGAAGTGGCCATGCCCACGAAAGCTCATGATCCCATCCACATGTTCTGTTAGACTAAAAAGTGCTGCCAGACCATTTGTTGTTCTTGTCACCTGATTGGAAGATGCTCCACGAAAACAGGGTAGCAGATTATTGGCCTGCGCAGAGAATTAATGGCAAAGAAAAGAACATTTACATTGAGCCAAATGTTGGAAACGTGCTACCCCGCGTCTGTAGCAATCGTAGCTACTTTGAAGGCCCCTGTTGCCATAGTATCTGAGTGCCTCACACACGGGAATGTGTTGGCCCCCTAGGAAGCAGAGCAGTTCTTCCCATTTGACGGATCAAGACTGAGGCAAGGGAGATTAAGTGACTTGCCTAAGGTCACACAAGCAGCAAGAGAACCCACATCTCCCCCAGTCTTATGCTGATACCCTGCCTGTGAATGGATCCGCCCTCCACTACCAATCAGGCTGGCAGAATTGCCCGATCTAGCTCATTCTCCCAAGCTGGCTATGAAAGGGTTAACCTTGCTGCTTCCTCTTGAGTCAAGAGTTTGATGGGGTCTCCGGTTACCCCCCTTGATCACACCCAAGCCAGCCGCACAATGTTATGTGGGTATCCATAAGCCACCCACAGAGCTGTGAAAAGTCCTCTCATGGCAGACTGAGCTCTGGGTGGGTCAGTAGCACTAGGGGGGAATGACAGAAGCCCCTAGACCAGTGGTCACTAACCAGTCAATCGGGATCTACCGGGAGATCTTGGAGCCTCTGACAGATGATCCTGACTGGTTTGGCCAAGAGGCTATCAAGGGCCAGCACTTCAGCTGCCCCTTCCCCCACTGCTGCTCATCTCCTGCCCTTCGCCTTGGAGCTGCGCCTCCCCCTGGGAAGGCTTCTGCTTTCTGTGCAGGGCAGGGGAAGGGAGAGGAGAGGTGCTGATGTCAAGGTGCCCCCTTCTACTCTGTATCCTTTCTCCATAAAGCTAGGGGGCATAACAGGACTTGGAATGGAGTTTGCTGGCTGCTTTAGGGAGTGGTCCAGATCCAGGGCAGGGGTGAGCCTGCCTTAGCCCCACTGCATCACCAAGCAGAAGCCACCTTGAGTCGGAGCCCACATCCCAAACTCCTACCCCAATCATGAACCCCCTGCTATACCCCAAACCCCTGCCCTCGCCCCGAGCAGCCCTGCATCCAAACACCCTCCCAGAGAGTGCACCTAGAACCCCCTCCCGCACCCCAACTGCCTGCCCCAAGCTCAGCTCAGAGCCCCTCCTGCATTCCAGATCCCTCGATCCAAGGCCAGAGCCTGCACCCCGACCCACTGCCCCAGCCTGGTGAAATTGAGTGAGGATGGACAAGAGAGGGAGGCCGGAGTGAGCAGGGGCAGGGCCTCAGAGAAGTCTGCCATGGGTGGTGCACTAGGCGAAGCCAAGGGAAGGGCTGTGAGGTGCGGAGGGAGTTAGGCGCCTTCCGCCCATGGATTTTCAATGCTGGGAGGCTTAATGAAATCGGACCAATTGGCTCCATCTTGGGCAGGATAGCGGGCAGGTTGCAGAGCTCATGAGATCTCCTGTGCGGTGCCCCCCGGGACGACCCCCCCGCCGCTTGCTCACCTGCGACAGCTTCCTCGACGAAGGTGGCGCCGCTATGTTATCCACTCCGCCCCCTGCCTAACCCGGGTGGAGGACATCACTGCTTCTTGCCGCCAGCCCGTAACTTCTGCCAGCCATCGGGCAGGACAGCCAGGCTGGGCCTAACGGCCGGTGATGGGGACTCCGCCAGCCCCCTAGTAGCAGCCCCTGCCTAGACTTAGGTTTTTCACTTGCCCTGGGGCATGTGCTGGCCCTGGCAACAAGCAGGTTGTTGTTTATCTACAGGGCTGCATGTCCTGGCAGAAGCCAAGGACGCGGCGTGGGAGAGCCTGATGTTCCAGTTAGGACAGGCAAGTAGGACCTTGGCTGAGACCGGACACCGGCTCCTGCCAGGCCTCTGGATCGTGGGACAGTCTTCTCACTGCATCCTGCGCGTTCTAGCGAGCAG